ACAGCCCTGACTGACTCTGATAACGGCCGGGTGTTCTCCGAGTCCGATCGACTCGGGTATTACACACAATGTTAAACAGACCCGGGACCCGAAGTAATAGATTTGGACCCAACCCAGACCCGGCTGACCATTTCAAATATAGCCCCGAACCTGTACGGATCCCGGGTCGGGTCCCGGTTCCTCGGGTCTCGGGTCCTCCGTGTAGACCTCTAGTTGAAACAGACCCAGAATACACATCCACAAGTACATTTACAGTCATGCTCGAGGATCATTTCTCTGAGCTGTGCTGCCAAATTCTCTAAAGTTAAAAAAAAATATATATTATTTTCCTCTCCCACAAATACAACACAATAGTTACACCTTCTCGAATCCTTCACTGCAGGTGCACAAATCCTATTCTACGAATCACAAATCAAGAAGCTTATACGCTCACATGTTTTGCTACTATTGCTGCAGTGAATATGGTGCAAAACACATTCACACACCTCCATCAAAAATGTGAAGTCACAGACGAATTTTGTACATCCGCAAATCAGTATGTGAATTCTTGCAATGAGATTTGCACGCTTGTAGAATGTTTTCTTACATATATTTTTTTTTTCCTTGGATGCTTTTTCTAGCACAAACACAAGTGCACAACAACAATGGCGTGAATCTGCTGCTACGAGTCTCAAACCTGTTTTTCACTTGCAAATGACAAGTTTTGCGCACTCTCACTTTTGCACCACATATCTGTGTGACATATGGTGCAAAAGTGATTTGTGCATCTGTAGAGGCAACAGCGGGCACTGTTCAGAGATCAGCCAATCAGAAGAGATAGTTTAGGTGCCTATCAGCAGGGAGGGAAAAAAAAAACTTGCGAATAATAAAGGTAAATTTTTTTTCTTTTTCTGAAGTCACTCACCGTTATACTGTACATTTGTTTATAGTTTAAATATTAAATATTAAATGCTCCCACCCTGATAAAAATCACCTGTAGCATTCTAGTAATCCTAATTAAGTTAACTGGTAACTGGTAGTTTGATTAGGGTTAAAGCTAAACTGCAGGACAGTGGCCCTCCAGTACCAAGTTTGCCCATCCCTGCTTCAACTCACAAAGAGGCTTTATAAAAGGTTGATTAACCCGTTAATTAAATAGATTATTATGAGAGTGTCATATACAAGATGATTAAATATATTTGTTAATATATTTAAATTATTAACAAATGTGCAGTATAACAGGAGTGATTTCAGAAAAAGAAAGAAAATGTACCTTTATTGATATTTGCTGCTGTCAGGTCTGGAAGATGCTCACAGCTCGCGAATGTTTTTATTTTATTCCCCCACTGCTCGTTTGGGTGCCAAACTGGTAGGCACCTAAACTACACTGTAAAGAGATTGCTGTAAATTTTACAGTAAGCTGGATGTATTATTACTGTATTTTCATTTAAAGTATTATTACTGTATTGTCAGTATTAGTACTGTTAGTTTATTTTAACTTTTTACCTGTATAAAACAATCCAATTGTGGTACAACACTGTATACCATATTTGTTTCCAACCCCATAAAAATCACAATAACTCATTAGCATTTGTATTTATAATATTCTTTTTAATTGTTGAACATTTTCTTTTTAAAAATACAAATTACAAATCTTCATCTCTAGCATGCACTAGCTGAAAAAAAGGGCATCACCACGGTCCCCTGGGGACTTTGTATCTGTAGCATGGCAAAACAGACTTTACAGAAATAAAATACAGTAAAAATTAGTTTGTGTTGTGTTAAATTTCGGTAATTTTGGCAAAGCTGACAAGCTCTCTGATGAGAAACACTACGAGGGGATTCAGGCTGATGCTTTTTCTTTGCACCCTCTTTCCTGAATTCCATCTGATCTGTGACTCTGAATGGCATTTGGTGCCACCAGGGTTGATTCTCGGAATGAACCTGCAAGCACAAAAAATATATATATTTCAAATAAGTGTTTACCCCCGTTAACAGTGGACCTTCTTTCACTTTCTGATTCTATATCTTTGAAATGACAAAAGTTGCAAACTTGTAGTTTTTGTTCTCTCCCACAAACACAACACAATAGTTACACCTTCTCGAATCCTTCACTGCAGGTGCACAAATCCTATTCTACGAATCACAAATCAAGAAGCTTATACGCTCACATGTTTTGCTACTATTGCTGCAGTGAATATGGTGCAAAACACATTCACACACCTCCATCAAAAATGTGAAGTCACAGACGAATTTTGTACATCCGCAAATCAGTATGTGAATTCTTGCAATGAGATTTGCACGCTTGTAGAATGTTTTCTTACATATATTTTTTTTTTCCTTGGATGCTTTTTCTAGCACAAACACAAGTGCACAACAACAATGGCGTGAATCTGCTGCTACGAGTCTCAAACCTGTTTTTCACTTGCAAATGACAAGTTTTGCGCACTCTCCCTTTTGCACCACATATCTGTGTGACATATGGTGCAAAAGTGATTTGTGCATCTGTAGAGGCAACAGCGGGCACTGTTCAGAGATCAGCCAATCAGAAGAGATAGTTTAGGTGCCTATCAGCAGGGAGGGAAAAAAAAAACTTTCGCAAGCTGCGAGCATCTTACGAAGCTGACAGCAGCAAATACCAATAAAGGTAAATTTTTTTTCTTTTTCTGAAGTCACTCACCGTTATACTGTACATTTGTTTATAGTTTAAATATTAAATGAGTTTAGCTCCCACCCTGATAAAAATCACCTGTAGCATTCTAGTAATCCTAATTAAGTTAACTGGTAGAGGTGTGTTTGATTAGGGTTGAAGGGGTCATATGATGCGATTTCAATTTTTCCTTTCTCTTTGAAGTGTTACAAGCTCTTGGTGCATAAAGAAGATCTGTAAAGTTGCAAAGACTAAAGTCTCAGATCCAAAG